CTGGAAAGATAAAACTCCCAGATGGTCTTACAATACACATCTACAGCAAATGCTGTATCCCTAAAATACCCAAAACTCAGGAACACTAATGGAGACACGATTTTTATTTTCCTATGAGATCAAAATAGATGTTTATGCTTTACTTGATCACGTCTAGTGCTGATCGTCACCTCCGTGGCAGTATCTGGTCCAGCAATGACAAGAAAGTCATTTTGTTATGTAGGTTTTCTTTATGGAATTTTATAGTTTGTTTTCCTGGTAAATGATAAATAAAAAAATGTTGATGACTCGTCGTCCAATGACACAACTTAATTGTGTGGCTCAGCCTGCATCTCTCCTTCACCTGGCACTGCTGGCTTTTTGTGAGCTGTAAGAGCACTTTGGATCAACCCTGTTTGTGTTTAAAGTGCTATACAAATGAAGTTGGCTTGACTTGATTGGACTCCGGATCTCGGCTCGAACATGTGTGGCCTCACTCCAAAAATATCATGGGTGTCTTCTTCCTCCATTTCATCCCTGTCCAATGTGTCCACAGGCTTGGGTGATAATGGTGGCTCTAAGTCCTCAACAACAGAGAGAAGGCTGGTTTCTATGTTTGACTAGTAGCTACTGTCAATCTGAAATCTGCCTGGGCAGGGGGGGCATAACACACATTAAGCACTATTGACTAATGTAAACACCAATCAATATCTGAGACAAGTCCTTCCCTAGGTTAAGGTCTTTACAGGAAACACATGAATATGCAGAAGCAAATAGCACCCTGCTATTCGTTCATGGGAGCTTTAAGCAAACAGGGAATTTCAGCCTGTGCCTACAGACCAGGCTGGCTCTTCACTCTGCCAAGTGTGGCTGTTATGATCAGGTCCACTGAGCATAACCCAACATTACCTAGTGCCAGTGACGGACTCAGGATGTTTGCAGGGGCGAAAAGGAAAAAAGGGCACCTACTGCATGACATGGGCAGCCAAAAGGGCACATCTGCTCGTTTTCATCCAATAGGGCACATCATCTTTGTTTTGATCACTTAAGAGGGCAGCCAAAAGGGGCCATCCTCTCTTTTTCACCACTCAAGAGGGCAGCCAAAGGGGCACATCCTCTCATTTTCGCCACTCAAGAGGGCACTTTAGCGCAACAACTATTGGATGAATTACTATGAAATCATGGACAGACATTCATGATCCACTGAGGATGAATTGTTATCACTGGACCGTGTCATTTTTAGATGCTCAGACCAGCTGACAAACTAAAAAAGCAAAAAAGTCCATGTAAGCTGGTGGTTGAACACAGGACTTTCACCCAGGAGACTGTTTTGTTTGTGTCCCATGTGAAAACAAAAGTCAACGTCATTTTAACTCAACCTTGATCTTTTCCTTAGCCTATCCATGTAGTTTTATCTCCAAACCTAACCAAGTAAACCTAAAAAGTAAATAAACCTACTCTTGAAGTTTTGTTTGAAATGACACTATGCATGTTACCTGCAGAACTTGACACGCTGTCCCCTGACTTGCTGACACATCCAAAACAAATGCTAGAGGGGCACCTGGACATGTAGGGCTGCTAAACAAGAATCAATATTTGACAAGTTAGGAGTGAGAATGTGTTGCAAAATTTTACATTTCCTGTGAATATAATCCGATTCATCGTATTTCCACATGTATTTTGTATCCAGTCTGTGTTAAGGCCATATATTTTGGCAAGCGGAGGTAGTTATGTTTGTCCTGGGCTGAAAAAAAGGGCCCTCCAATGGATGATTAGAGAAAATTCAACTCAAACATTGAGTGAAGAAATTACTGCATGATATTAAACCATAAAATCAAATCATGAGTTAACGTATCGGTCTAATTTTTGTCTTCATTTATTCATTCAATCTTGGGACTACTTTCTTACAACTAATCATTTATCAGTTAAATAGTGTGCTGAACTGAAGTAGTGTGTTTTCCAGTCATACCCAATGTATGCATGAATGAAATTTTATTTTCGTGTCTGGCTGCCTAAGGCAGCCCATCCCTCATGGGATTATTCAGACACATTTTAAACAAAACATTTTCCAGTGCCATCACACCAACATAAAATAGTAAACATGACATATACGCAAGCTGCAAGTAAAGATCAATAAAAATAAGTAAAACAAAATAAAATAAAAAGGACAATCTTTAGAGCCATGATCTATCTGTGTGCATAAGTTGCTTGCTTTCTTCTATTCCACGCTTTATCGATATAATTGGATATTGCAAATATATGATTATCAAATAACCATTTAATTATTTGGTTATCCTGGGACAGACCTACATGTGTTGATACTTTGTCAAAGAGTGTTTCTCTTAAGTCATCATAAAATGGACAGTACAGCAGAAAGTGGGTTTCATTCTCTACTTCACCGAGCTCACAGTAGTAACATAATCTTTGATCTTCCTTAGTTCTAGTGTAGCGTCCTGTCTCAATATGTAGCGGTAATATCCCAAAGCAAAACTGAGCACACAGAGATCTTTGGCTCTTAGATAAATCACACATAACATATCTTTCACAATCATACATTTCTTTAAACAAACAAAATGTGCGTAATTTTGGTTTATGGTTAATTTCATCCAACCAATTACTTTTATATTTTGTCATAGCAAATTCTTTAAACACCCGCACATCCACTCTCTGTCTATGGCTATAGAGATGTTGAAGCCCATGCTCCTGAAGCAGATCATACATCTCTGACGCCCATTCTCTGCGATTCCAAGACTGTTCAGGGACCCCAGTATGCAGAAATACATAAATACACCAATGTTCCTTTTTTCCCTCGCCAAAATGTAGCATAATTTTGCAGCGTTATTTGGCCCCCTTCCCAACAAGATAGCATAACATGACTGGTAACATTGGATACACATATAGTGTGTATTTTTATATGATATCAGTGTCTTCACTATAGCTTTAAAACTGAGCCTGATACAGCAGGTTTTATTCACTAACATTAGTCTGCCTCACTTTTCACCATCAGCTCTGCCTGTCATACCTGCTGCTTCTTCACCTTTTTTTTGCCAGATATTTGTCCACTGCAGTGGCGATTGCTCTAAGACTTCAAGGGAAGCTCAACTTACCCTAAAATGTCAGAAAATAAGTGGTCAAATATGTACTGTTGTGTTAACATTTCATTGACTAAATATGCGCTAGAACGCGTTCAACTTTTGTTCAGAATCAGCTACTTATCACAGGCCACTGACGCGACTTTCTTCTCATTCATTCCCGTAGCGTCTCAGTGCATTAAACAGTGTCGAAGCTCAGGGTCCTAAGACTTCAATGGGGAATCATAGAGTGGGTTGTTCCACTGCAGCAAAACTAGACAGTCATTGGATTAATGCTCGGTTTTGTCCCACCCATTGGACGCTCAGCGTCTCTGGGGGTCTATGGGGCAGTGGGTTGGCCTTGGCTGGCCTGGACACTGGGCTTCCGCATGATGATTGGATGATCTGTCTGAGGCTGAATCCCTTTTTGATTGACAGCGAAATGAGCGAATCAGCGATCTTGAAATATTAACCACCACCGGAGCATTTTTCAAAGTTTCATTCCATTTTTCCGAGTTGATCTGGAGACTTTTCCAATCCTCTTAGTGACTTTTTCTTTGTTAAAAACAATTAGCGACAAATCTAGCATCTTTTTCTGGTGTTATTGGAGACTGTACTCGTGTTTGGAGACTCTGACTTCTGTCTCTCTGCAGTTACTGTCCCCAACAAGCAGCGGGTGCTGCTGTGAACCCCTCCACCATCCCAAAGCACTCACAGGCGGTCACACTAGCCTCACACAGCAGCCCCAGAGGGTAATAAACGGACACATTTTATGATGTAGGCCAAAAATGAGCTTCCCCTCCTTGAAAGACCAGCAGCCGCCACTGGTCCACTGCCTTTCTGCTCCTTTCATTGCCTTGTTCTGTCTGTACCCTGGGCCAGGGTCATCTGTACCCTTCAACTCCCCTGACGACATTTTTCTAACACTAGGTATCAAACAAAAGCCAGAGACTGTGTCTTATAAAGTGTAAAGACGGAGGGTAATGTTATCTCAGAGCCTTACCGTGCAAAGTTTCTCCTCCTCTGTGCCACTGCATCACTGTCTGTACCAAAGAGTAGCGTATATGTCAAGTGCGCTCACTTTGCAGCAAAATCTGGGGACCAAAATGTCCCCAGAAGAACACTGCACAGCACACTGACTAGCAATAACAATGACTGCCTTACTTGAAGCAATCTCTGAGGGTTCTCCAACTGATGATTCAAATCTTTGATTTCCGAGGGGTGGCCCTATTGCGTGCATGTCCGCTTTTAGGATTCTTTGAATATTTCCACCTGCACTTGCTGGACCTGTATCAGAATACTGTTCCTTCCTCAGGTTGTGTGTGTGAATGCGTAGAGGTATGTGGAGGCCTCTGAAGCCGCACAGACACAAACCCATGACTCAGGAAAGTCTCCCTGGCAGTTAGCCCCATTCCCAAAGTTCATGAGAGGGATAAAAGAGGAAGACACCGGAAATAGCTTATCTATCCAACAGGGAGTCAAACAATGGCCCGGAGGAAGTCTGTCCTACGGAATCTCTCTTCTCATCAGACTCTGAAAATGTTGTACACAGTGTATGAGGTGACTTTTCTCGTGAATCGCGTACACACACAAAAACACAAGACTGGACGTGCCGCTATGCACGTTCTTCACCCAGAGGAGAGATCAGAGAGAGTATCAGAGGCTTAAATGGGATCTAAGAAGAAGATCTTACGAAGGAAACATGACCAGGCATTAATGGACTCTGAAAGACCCGGGACAGTGTGTAACAGCATTAAATTTTCATTTTCATGTTGTTTCCTGTGGTTCTGTGACTTAATGGCTTTTTTCATGGCCTGTTCATGTTGTCAAGAGGCTATTAGCTCTCTTGGACAAATTGTGGGCACTTAAGCTCATTATGATATGTGATATGGACTTGAGTCATTTGTAACGTCTGTTCTTTTTTGTCGTTGCCCAATTTTCTGTCCATAGAACATCGATGTGACCAACTTCAGCAGCAGTTGGAGTGATGGCCTGGCTTTCTGTGCCCTCTTGCACACGTATCTGCCCGCCCACATCCCATACCAGGAACTCATCAGTCAAGATAAGGTAGAAAACTACAGGAAAACTGTGTACACACTGAAGTGCTAATTTAACACCAGTCTTAATAGCCAGTCGGTCGGTGCCTTACCAGCAGGTAATAAGAGAAGCACATTAAACTAAGCGGAAATTAGTGTATTTATAGAAGAGACACACACACAGGCTCTTTAGTTACACACATACCTCTCCAATCCCTGTATCCAAATCTCATTTTACTTGCATACCTGGATTATTGGTTATCACTGGGTCATGACTCACACGTACTTATACATCCATATGTGAACAATTATGTGGCTTTGCACCAGAACAGTGAAGTCGAGGTAAAGACACCACGTGTTAACATCCAAAGCATAGTTGCCTATAATGTTGTGCATTTTTCATGCATTTCTTACCCAAATATGGCATAAAAAGCATGATTCATATTTTGAATACTCCAATACTTTCACCTCCTAATCTCACATTTAATACACTACACGTCTACTGTGTCAAACTACAACCCCATAACAAGTATCTGTCCTGGTAGGAATCACAACTTATAGGCCCTAATCAGACAGAGCGTCTGTTTCTAATAGTTTTCAGTGGGAGTGAGGCGCTTTGCTTGCTGCTTTTGTGTTGCTGAGCATCTTGTGTTTATCCACCTTATGCTTTTTGTGTTTTTGCCGGAGCGCTTTGAATGCCTTGAGTATAAAAAACACCAACTCAGAGAGGAAAAAGCACCTGGCATCACTGGCTTTTTTTTCCCAGTGTCCAATCAGATGAATGAAAGCCGGGCCTTCTGTGGTGGTGATAACAAGACGTTTGCTGAGCACCATATGCGGTTTGTGTTAAGCTAAGATTTGGTCATTTTCAACTTAGTCTGAGGCAAGCTGCAAACATATCTGAACGAATTGTCGTCTCAACTACTAACGTTTTACCAACAGTAATTAAGCCCAGTGATTGACACCAGATTGTCAAACTATCTGAGACCCATCCTAAGGCTGCTTTGAGACCTAGAGTTGTCTTGCTTTGGTCTGAATCAGGGACTAATTTGGTTACAAAGTTGCATAATTGCCTAGAGTTGGTTCGTGTTCTCACGGCAGCATTTACTAGCGGACCAGATTAAATGTCTTGCTTTAGAAAGCTGTTCTTGATTGGTCAGAATTTCCATGCGGGAAAAATCCAGGAATTAAACAACACGCTGAAGAAGAGTACACTTGCAAGATAAATGTGACACTTTCTAATGTCACAATGGAGGGACAACTACGCAGGTTGATTTTAGCGCTGCTCATCGTGGACTATATTGCTGTCATTGTTCATTTTAGTTAAACCATACAGTTTGAAAACGAGGCGCTGCTCCAACTAGAAAACAATGTTTTGATGCATTGGATGTGCTGAATGTGCATATTAAGGCAGTACAGGAGGAGGTGCACATTAATAATCCTCCAGGACTGTAACATGCTCATGTTTAACCCAGACAATGTGTCATGTGACTGCAGTTGGTTCAGATCGAGTTCGGAACACTTTCTCACCACAAACAAACCGCACCATAGTGGTTAAGGTGAGGACATATGATTCGATGGTTTTAAAATAAATGCAGCAGGCTGTGAAAGGGCTCTGTCTGATCGAGGCAGGCGACAAAAGACAGTGTAGTGCTCCTAGTGTTTTGCAGGTTGCAAAAGGTGTTTGATCAAGGCCTTAGAAAGGTACTGTTTGGTTGGTGGCATCTTGCAAGTATTATGGGAGTTGTATTCAGTCATCGATGCTTGTGCTGTTGGCTAAAGTTAGTTTTTAGCTTAAGTTAGTTGCAGTGGACAACTCAGCAGTTTAGTGTGGAATTGAGATTGAAAAACCACCATGAAAAAATGTTGTATGTTTGAAGAGAAAAGGAGGTTTCAGGAAAAATGGATCAGCTTGGGGCGAATACAATAATCTGCCTTGTTTGCAAACAGTAGAATTTGGTGCTCAAGGAATTAAATGACCAAGTTCATGGGAGAAGAACTCAAACGTAAGGTTTAACAGTTTCAATGAGACTGCCCAACAGTCAGTCTTCACCAATCTTGTCAAAAGTGCTGAAAGGCAAGCAATGTGGGAGCTCACGAAAATGTTGAGCATCAAGCAGGACAGCAGTGGCTCAGTCCATAGGGACTTTAGTTGGGAACCGGATGATCGCTGGTTCAAGTCCCGGTCCAGAACAGATATGGAGTGTGGACTGGTAGGTTGAGAGGTGCCAATTTGCCTCCAGGGCACTGCCGAGGTACTTTTGAGCAAGGCACTGAACCCCTAACTACTCGGAGCGCCTGTCCATGGGCAGCCCCCTCACCCTGACATCTCTCCATTTAATGCATGTAAAGGTCTTGTTTGTGCATGTGTGTATTTCGGGCCTGCGTGTGTGACAGCAGAGTGAAAAAGTTGAATTTCCCCTCAGGGATTATTAAAGTATACTCTTAACATTGACTTTGTTCCACCTGAATTGGAAGCAGGGTTGAAAGAATGTGAAGGAAAATGTTTAATTATGTTGGGTCAGTTATATAAGGAGGAGAACTGATGTCCCATGGGCAGCTTCAGCATAAACACAACCTCTCAGCCTATGGCTTATTTAGATAAGATATGACCAGAAGAACCGATGGATAACAGTTTGGATATCAAGGAAAAATGGGAATTGGAGATGATCATTGTAATTTCAGATAAAAACACTGAATTATCAAGCAGAGAGGGATATAAAATAACAAGTAGCCTCATTTGAAAGGAATTCGAATGGAAAGTTGAGATGAGATTTTTCAGGTCTCTTCGTGTCCAGCAAGCAGGGTGTGCCGCTGTTCATCCCCTTTACTTAAGAAAAGGAACTATATATGGACATTGAGGAGATGCTGAAATCCATGGACGGCCCTCTAAGACATTTCTGCCTGTGTTGCGTCTCTGAACAGATGACTGCCCTGCACGATTGCTTGTGATTAAATGAACTAAGAAGAAGTTTAAAAAAAGAGCAGTGAGGTCACTCGCATGTACTTTACAGGGCATTGTGTACATGACACAGGGCCCCTAGAAGGTTGCCGCAACAATGACTGGATGCTTTGCTGACAAAATCCTTTCCTGTGTACAGGGTTGAGTTGACACGAGAAGGCAGTTGCATGTGGTTAGTGAGGTGAATTCTTCACAGCAGCTTGACAGCTCTGTTTGCCTCAAAGAAACTATAGCTCTTAACTTACTTGAAGCTGCAGTAAAATCCTCTCTGATAAGTGAGCGGAGTACTGAAACTGCAAGTTCAGCCTGGGGTCATCTGTATGTTCCCAGGGTCCTGTGTCTCATGATATAAACTAATGTTGTCAGAGATTGGAAAGGACTAGCTTTATAGTTCAAACTGCAAAAGAACAAAGGGATATGGATGTTTCTGAGTCAGTTTGAATGGTAAAAATCTTGTTTGGCCACTGTGGAGATATCAGTATCTAAAGGACAATATCCTGGACAATTTTGAGGGCGTAGGTTTCAAGGAGTATATCATCAGTCATCCCAGCCATCAAACCTTGAAAAAGTTACGACAGCATGGCGATGCAGTGATTAGTATTGTCGCCTCACAGCAAGAGGGTTCCTGGTTCCTGTGTCAAGGGAGCCCTTCTGTACGGAGTTTGCATGTTCTCCCCGTGTCAGCGTGAGTTTGCTCAGGGTACTCCGGCTTCCGCCCACAGTCCAAAGACATGCAGGTTAATTGGTGACTCTACATTGTCCCTAGGTGTGAATGTGAGTGTGAATGGTTGTCTGTCTCTATGTGTCAGCCCTGTGATAGTTTAGTGACCTGTCCAGGGTTTACCCTGCCTCTCACCCAGTGTCAGCTGGGATAGGCTCCAAAGTCTAGAGTATGTGACGTAGCGCATGAGCTGACTGTCATCTGGAGGTGAAATGGATGGAGGATGGCGTGACATCCAAGTGAGACGCCTGCCAAGCTGCAGACAATTGTCCAAGACCGACAAACAACAAAACCAGATGTGATTTAGGGACTCATTGCTGTGTTTCCTGCAACTTTTTAGGCACCAAACATGGGTGTCTTGCAGCAATCCATCGTTGTGTTTACAGTATGGATAGTGACACAAAAGGCAGATATTTTTTTACAGAGACATTGCTTTTTTCTAGCAGGGATTGTGCTGCGAAAACCGGGTATTTAAACTCTCCTTAATGAGTCATACTAAGAGGATAATGAGCTGGGGTACACAGGACCCTGTGAATACAGATATGCTCCCATTCAGTCTCGTGTGTCCCCCCCCCCCCCCCACCCCCGCCGACTCAAACCTGCAGAATTGTGTCTCCAGAAAATACCACACATAAAACCACAATAAGTTGTTTGTGGAAAATGTGAACCTGTAAACTGCGAAAAAAAACTGCTTATACAGCAAAGGTCTGAAAGATGCATGTTTTGCCAAAAGGCAAATAAACTTCATGTAATGCTTTGAAACAATTTTGCCTGGAGTCGTTTTTTCCACCATTAAGCTGCACATTCCAGACCTCCTTTATGGAGGTGAAGACACTTTATAGGTGCGCCACATTGTCCACACAGCATTAAGAGACAGCCTGAAGATGAATTATGAATGTAGCATTTGTTCAGTCGCGCTGTACGTGATTCTGAGCACAGGCCAGCAGCTACTGTATAGCAAGGCGTCGACAGCTCTGTAATGTGGACATGCAGGTGGTATATCACTAACTGTACAAACAATATGGTTCCCCTCTGGGGACTGCAGGTCTTTCAGTCTGCTACGACAGTAAAACAATAGACAAACACCTCTGACCAGGCCTGACACATCCTATGTTATGTAGGTGTGTGTGCACAGTTGGTTGGTGTGAATGTGTAACATAGAGCTAATGACCAAGGCATCCCGCTGAATAATTCATCAGACGTGTGTTGGCTTTCATAACTCTTGCTGAGTGACTTTCCTTGAGGCTCAAACACCCAGTCTCCTCCCAGTATAATCTGTCCTTCCAATAATCCCAGTACTGCCTTCCTTCACCCTTTATCACATCATGTTTTTAAGAAAATAAGCTTAAAATTGGACTTATGTTTTAGGTGAAAGGGGAAGGTGGTCTTTCAAGTAGGCAGTCTACAACTGCAGAACTAATTATTAAGAATTCATAATTAATTAATTCATCATCCCAGCTGTGCTGATGTCTAGAGGCAGTTAAGATGACATTTTGAGTGTTTGTGAGAGTCACGATTTGCAACTCAAGGACGTGCACTCTTGGTTCAGAAGGCAGAAATATTAAACATCAGGTCGAGAGAGAGTGAAACTTTCTATTAGCAGTCCTCACGTACTTACAGTTCACCAGTATTCCAGAAAATTGACATCAAGGACATCATCTGCCAGTTTGATATGTCTGTTATATTGTTTCTCTTGTCTTCTCTTGTATAAGTGGGCTGTGTACGTAAATATGAATTTGTACATTGTCTTGTTGAGTTTCGTTGTTGTTGTTTTTGGAAATGTTACAGCTGGGGTTGGCAGAAATCTGGAAAAGGAAAAGATATGTTTGAAAATACATTCTCCTCCTGCATCTCTCCCCTCTCTGTCGTAAGCCCCTCTTACCAGACGACCACAGGCTTATGTACACGCTTCATCCAGTAACCCAGTGTTTCCCATACAGTAATTTAATGAATCTTATTTTATTGTAACATTGCATGCAGCTTCTTCGCTCAGCCCCTCCTTGTCCTGCTCTCTAACTGGTTATCAGACCACAAATGAGACAAGACTTAGCGAGCTATCCAGCCCAGGTGTCTCTGTGGGCTGATGGCCAGTAGCATCGCTGCGTCTGATCTCTGTAGCCGCATAACAGAATCTGGATGCTGATCCAGCTCGGTATCAGGGCTGTCCAGACCCCCGGAGCTAGGGTTAAGGCTGGCTGGATTTGGGTTGCTGTGGCTGCTGACTGGGGTTCTGTCTTTGGAGCTGCTGCCTGTTCTCCTTCCGCTGAGGTGGTCTGTAGCGACGGGGATTGAGCCGGAGGACACACCCTGTTTTGAGGCCCTCGATAATGTTAGATACATAAACTTGACTATGAAGCCGCAGCCATGAGCCTTTACCAACATTTTCTCTCCATCTCTGAAATGGCTTCCTGATATTGGCACGTGTTTCTTTGCTATTTTAGACTCTCTTTTCGATAAGTCTGTCTTCCTTTTTTGGGATGCTTTGCAGTGTAGGCAGTTATTGCCGATGCTGGAACTTTCTCTGTAGGATCTCCCTCCATTGAATCAGGGTTCACTGAAGGGACTTGCATGCATTTGCATTTGTAGAACAGCCAATAGGAATGCCCTCTCTCTGAAATGACCTGTGATTGTGCAAAGTCTCCCATCGCAGCCTAGATTTTCTAAAAACCTGAAAACAGAACCAAGAGAAGGTGCAAAAGTCTGGTTTTCTCTCAGTCCACTTGAATTACAATATGCTCAAAGCTTATAATGGGATTTTTGCCCAGTGAAGCTAAACTTAAACTGCCAACCCCAACTTTAACTCAGGGTATGCATTCAACAACTATACCTCTCTCTCTAGAAAAAGTATGGTATTGTTAATTTTCTGTCTTTTTTAATGTGACTTGTACTTTTATTTTATTTTTTATTGATTGATTGATCTTATTTTATTTTATTTATTTTTTATTTTTTTAAAGATTGTTCTTTTGCACCTTTAATGGACAGAACAGAGTGAAGAGTGTGAAGTGGGGAGAGAGACAGAGTGGGGGGACGACATGCAGCAAAGGGTTGCAAGCCGGAGTCGCACTTACGACCGCTGCAGCGAGGCATCACCTCTATACATGGGGCGCCAGCACTATCCACTAAGCTACCGACACCCCGTTGATTTTATTTTTTTTAATTTGATTCTTTTGTATCACTTTTATCATCTCTCTCTCTTATTTCAAATGTATCTTTATTTATTTTTATTTCTACTTTGTATTTTTTTTATATCTATGACTTATTCATTCATTTATTTATGTAGCTTACTTTTTTTTGTTATTAATTTTTATTATCAGTATTACTACCTCTCTATCTCTCTATGATGTATTGGTATTTACCTTATTTACTTTTATGTATATTTACAAGACATGGGCATTGTAACGTTGACACTGAACAACCGATTCATTTATGCCTTGAAATTTTCAAAAAGCAAAATTGGGGGGAAGAAAAAAACAAACAAAATATACAAGGTTATTTTTTATACCATTTTTGAGTTTTGATTAATTAATTAGAGTAATTCAGTACACAGTATAGCTTTACATGTGTTAAATAAACAGGAGATAATATACATTAAGATGCTCATGCAGACAAGCTAAGCCTCACACGCTGTCTGTTTTAGACTTTCTCTTGGGTGCTTGTAGGGTTTATAAATATATTTGTGAGCTTCTTGTTACCGTTTGAACCTCCATGTGTGATGTTGCAGGATGACGGGTGCAGGGAGTTTCACAGTGGTTTCACAATGGTTTGTTTTTCTTCAGGTCCGGAATCTGACCTTAGCTTTCCAGGCTGCTGAGAGCATTGGGATCAAACCCTCCCTGGTGAGTCGAGCTGCCTCAGACCTCACATACTCACACACACACTTAGATAACACAGAGGGAACCTTTGATTAGACGAACTGGACACAGTACACTTTGTCTGATGATTTTTCCTCCTGACTGTCTTGAGCTTAACTGTGTCATATCAGTTATCGTTCACTTTCTGCCTGGATTGCCTCGAGCCGGCACTCCACCACTGTGCTCTGGAAATGTACGACACTTTGCATCAAGAGAAAAACTAACCTTATGCATAATTCAGATAGAATTTGACTTAGTTGCTTTGCGAAAACATTAGCAGCTCTCGTCAGCAATGCCTGAGTAACAACCAGCTGCTCCAGTGAAATATTTAGAATGAACACTACGTGTTTTGTCATGAGGTAAACAGAGTCACTTCCATATTTATATCTAGTGAAGCACTGCAGTGTGCTTATGGTAGCAAATGTGGAGTAAATGCTCCATCTCTTTAAGGAATAGTTTCAACATTTTGGCACATGGGCTTCTGATTTCTAATCATTATAAAATGTTTATAGATCCTGACTCATTTGTCTTGTTTAAATCACTGCTCACTTCACTGCCGTCACAGAGCTGTTGTTCATACAGAGACATCCTCATTACACACACCCTAAAAGCCTTTGTTTTATACTGTCATGCTTTTTTTCCCTTCTCATTCAAACACATATTACTGGCTGTAAGATTGTTGACACTGTAAACAGTTTAATGCCGGCCAGCTCAAGTGAAATCCTCACGCACACAACTTCCAGAGTAATTTGACTTTAGAGGAATAATCTGCTGCAGCCAGTGGAAATTAGGTTTTTTCCCCAGACACATGGATGGATTACTGAATGTGTCTACCAACATTTTCAGAACAAAATAGAACAGGCTGCAGTGAGAGTCTCTCTCCATGGGATATTTAAAAATAGCGGGTTTGTGCATTTAGTCCTTCTCAGTCCAGCACAGCCGGCCATAGCCCACAAGAATGACCCTCTGCAATGGTTTTTTGTCCTCTAAGTGAGGATTAGAATATATGCAGTTCACGTAATCAAGAGAGACAAACAAACAACAACCAGTCAAACAAACAGTCAAATTTAAGGTGTGCTGATAGATTCACGTCGTCAACTCATGCATTGAGTAACATTACAAGTTAATGTTCCACCTTAAAAGTCACCAGCAGTTGGCCCAGTGAATTGAGTTTTTTTCCAAACTACAGCTGCTGTGAGAGGCAGCAAAACATCCTTTATTTTTATAGTTATAGCTTAGAAATGTGAAACTCTCCACAGTATGAACAGTGGTTACATGAGCCTCAAAACCAGCCACAGCTCAGCCCTGAGCAGAGTGACTGTCCGCTATTGGCCAATCAACAGACTGCAGTGTTCACAGCTCCACCTTTTAGTACCAGATCTGTGTCTTAGGTACCCCAACAGAGGGGGAATCAAAAATCAGGAGTATGCAGAACGGTTCCATTGGTACCATCCACAACTTTTGGCAGTGGAAATGGAAAAAATGCGTACCGTACCGCTTGGTAGAAATAGGGCCAACATGACCACAAAGAGATGCAAAGAGACACAAAAAAAGGCAAAACCACGAAAAAGTCTGTGTGTTTTGCTCTTATGTAGGAGGCCTTTTGGCACATCTGTGCCCAGGGGCCCATTGTCTCATAATCAGCCTATGCTCACACCAGTGGCGGCTGCTGGTCTTTCAAACAGGGGAAGCTCACTTTAAGTTTACATCATGAAATATGTCGTATTGTAGCGAGGCAGTAACTTATAAAAGGAACATTTAATTGAAGCCGTTTTTCAACCACACTCAAAACAAACCTCAAAGATTTTCGGAACTCCGGACGGCACTCGCATCCGCATGGGACTGAGCTCGAAATGCCGAAATATATTTTAAAAGCGCCGTCAATCACAAAGGGGTTCAGCCTTTAGACAATTCCTCCAATCATCATGCATACACCAAGCGTCCTCTCCCGCCTACCGCACCATTAGGTCCCAGGGAAGCTGAGCCTCCCTGGAAGTGACGATTTTGTCGCATTTATCCAATGACCGTCTCGCTTTGCTGCATGAAAAAAACCTGCTCAGCGCTGTCTCATAGGAGTGCTTGGAGGCTCCGCATTCACCGTGCTGACACAAGAATGTACGACGGGGAGGTCGTGTTTGAAATCTGGTGATAAACAGCTGACGTTTGAACATCATAGTCATGATGTGAAACGCATCCTAGCACACGTTTAATGCAATGTAAAGTCTTATTTTAATGTAAATTCAATAGTGCATATTTGATCATTTCTTCTATATGAAATTTTAGGGGAAGTTCAGCCTCCCTTGTTGTCTCAGAGCAATCGCCCCTGGCTCACACCTATGTTTTTTGGGTGCTGAACATACTGTTCTGTTAACACTTTTACTTTCTTCTTAGAAGTGATTGCAGAGTATCTGAGACATGCAAAGGTTAAACTAATGTGACCTCTCTCCAGCCCTGCTTTACATCTGTGCATGACTTCTCGCTATGTTCTGCTTTCCTGATGACAGCACCATGTTTTGAGGAGCATGATAAATCAGATGAATATTTGTTGGATATCTGTTCTTTCTGAAGTCCAGCCAAAATAAGTGCTCTGAGAAAACACAAATCAGTCGAATAGCTCCTTCGCTTTATATGTGGAAGAGCTAGCTGGACGTCAGCGAGGAAGTAAAATAGGCCCAAATGTTTCACTGAGACCAAAGTCCATTTTACTTTGTCTTATTAAATGTCCATTATGTGCCTGTGGTTACGGGAATTATGTTCCCATGCTGGTGACTTCCAACTTTTCAACTGTTACTTTCTCTGTTATATAAACACAACAATCAGACAGTCAGCCCAGAGAGAAGCAGCTGATCACCCTCCCGTAAGGGGGTTGAGACATCATGGAAGTTACTGTTATTGCAGTGAAGCTTCTGTATAAGTCTGAGCTCAGGGAAACTGCTGTGACGCAACTTGACAGTGTCATGTGAAAGCCTGGTTCAACGTCTGACTCATCACTCTGGGCCCTGATTTGTGTCCAAGCAGGTGACTATATCCTATATTGAGAAACAGATACTGAGTGTCATAATAATGCAATAATGTAGATTACAGTATCATAAAAGAATACTTCAACCCCAAGTGACCATTTGTTGATCTCAACCCCTGTTACGAAAACTTTTTCTCGCATGCCTCCACAGAGAAGGAAGAATCCAAAAAATTCTTGATGAACTGTTGTGAACGGTGGTCATGTTTAATAACAGCAAAACTTCATCAAACATCTGTTTGTAAGCTTTCATATTCAATTCAGTTTTATTTATAAAGCAAATCACAATCTGCCTCAGAGGGTTTTACAGCATACGTCATGCCTCTGACCTCGGACTCTCACAGCGGATAAAGAAAAACTCCCTTTAACAGGGAAAAAATGGTAGGAACCTCGGGAAGAGCAACTGGGGAGGGGGACACCACCTAAATTAATAATTCCAATTATTTCCATGACCTAGAAAAGATCAATCAAGATTTGTGAACATGAGCCACTCACTCTCAAAGCCAGAAACCAGAGAGGTACGTCTCAAACTTGTGATGTCATAGAGTATAAAGTCTGGAGCTGCTCCATAGACAAGGAATGGGAGATGGAGTTTTTGGACCCACAGAATGTTTGTTTGATTTGTGTTCTGTTGTGGTGTTCTGAAATGTCCCCATAAACTCAGAACATTCCTCTGGGTGCTCAGTGTCGTCTAGAACTGTGGCTCCCCACTGGTCCACCCACAGGGTCCAGATTTCTCCCCAGTCACGAGTCCAAAGTCCACATGGCTTAATATGTTCGGTGTCATACTTGGTTTGGCCATGTCGCCAGTTTACTGTCTCTCTGAAGTAGCTGTCCGTTAGTCACTCACTCTACAGCAGGAAACAGCACTTCAAAATAAAAGCTCTGTGTTAGAAATTCACTGTACTTAAAAATAAATTGTTTTTTACAGACTTGATGTTTGTGCATCACTTGTGGTCCAGTTGGAAACCACTGATCTGGAACATCTTTCCCAATTTATTGTCTATGGAGCAGCTCCAGACATTATACCCTATGACATCACATATTTGAGTTTGAGCACTCTAGTTTTTGGATTTGGGAGAGAGTTGTTCATGTTTATTGATATTTTTGGATTGTTACACCGTAGGAATAACATGTATGAATGTAGAAAATGTGCACAGTTCCCCTTTAATCACACTCTCTTCAAAGCCAGACACCATTGACAAAGACAGTAATGTTAAATTGATCAGCACAGGAGCTGCTGGTCTGCAACCGCCTTGATCTGTTAGTGCATGGGTAGGCAACGTGCGACTCACATGAGCCTCTCTCCAGTGGCTCCCTGAGGCTCTAAAAAAATCATATGGAACTGAATTTTTATTTATAATTGCTGTAAGCCTAAAGAATTTCTTACATTCTCTAATTGTAAAAATGTGTAGCCTAGGCACAGAATTACAAACAACTTTTAATATTTTGTCAAGAAGATCTACAGCCTTTTCCTCTAAATTTTTCTCCTGTCTTGTCTAAATGAACCTCCGTAGTGGTGACTAGTCTTGAATCTCCCTAGCGAGGCTAGCTATGGACTGTGGAGTCTGGGAGGAAAATAGATATTAATAATGCGTGGACAGATTAATTTGCTTTCACCACCACCTCTTACCAAATGTTCACAAATAGCGTCCTGCCAACAAGCCACCTTGTGCTAAAACATATTAATGAATGCTCGTTTAGACCTATTAGTAATGTTGAATGGCTTTTTTATACGCAATAGTCTGAGTTACCTTCATAATAAGACTCAAATTTTTGTTAGAAAATGGGTCTTTTGATAGTAAAGGTTGCTGACCCCTGGGTAAGTCAGTTTGTGTTACCAAGTGACCTAACTAACAAGTTACCTGAGGCATTGTTAGACCAGCAGCTCCTTGTTCAGCAAAGTTAACTCACACTCTCACAAAAATATTAGTATCAGAATATACTTACAGTACCCAAATTAAAAGTATTCATAATGCAGAACGGTCCGTTTCAGAATAATATATACTTTATTACTGGAATATAATTATTAATGCATTAATTTGTTCATCACTTTAGTGTTGCAGCTGGTAAAGGTGAAGCTCATTGTAATTATTTTATATGGTGAATGAATGAATGAACTTTATTTATATAGCATCGTTCATGCACAGAATGCAGCATAAAGTGCTTTACAAATCAGCAGCAGAGACAGACAGTAAACAGATAAAACCTTACAATTATACACTACTCAATCAAGGAAAAATGAGAAGAATAAATAAATTAATCAATCAATAATCAAATCAAATAATAAAAAATACATATTATGAATATTAACACAGGAAGCTGCTAGTCATAGGTTATATTAAAAAGATATGTTTTGGGTTGTTGTTTAAAACTCTCCACTGAGCCAGCAAGTCTAATATTTAAAGGCAGGGTGTTCTGTATTTTTTGGGCATAGCAGCTAACAGAAGCATCCCCAAAGGTTTTTGTGGTGACATTAGGAACAGTTAAAGAACAGCTGTGGCGGATTTCAGGGTTTGTCGAGGGACATAAGGTGATGAGGAATCTGTTAAATAAGAATAATTTTTAAGAGCCTTAAAAACCAGAAGAAGGATTTTAAAATCAATTTTAAAAGATACTGGGAGCCAGTTTAGGTTATGTAGAACAGGAGTTATATGGTCTCTCTTTTTGGTTTTTGTTAAAACCCTGGCAGCAGTTTTCGGTAGGCCAGTATGAAGAGCATGACAATAGTGAAGACAACTGGAAACAAAAGCACAGATAAGCTTCTCAGCATCTCGCTGGCTCAGTAGCAGTCGTACCTTGGCTTTATTGTGTAAATGATAAAATGCAGTTTTTGTCAGTGATTTAAAATGAGCTTTAAAATTGAGATCAGAATCTAAAATGTCCCTGGGGTTTCCTACTTGAGGTCATGTCTGTGTAGTTTAACCTGCAATAACACATCATAATAATTTGCTTGTTTATTTATATTTTGTATTCATGATCTCAAACTATGGAGTAGAAGTCTATAGTAGCATGAAATGGAAGTATTAAAGTAAAGTACAAGAACCTCAAAACTGTACTTAAAGGTTCTTAGTTAAATTTTACCACTCAGTGTGACAGTAATGTAAAACACACATGGACATAAAATAGAAAGTATTTAAATAAGAAACCCATCAAGATATAAAAATCAAATGTTATTTTCACACTGAGAGACTTGGTGTCGTATCTTGGCGTCGTTGCATGTTAGTTCTGATTGTGCTAATGGGGATGCTGTTGTTCTGGCATTTAGCAGACGCTCCTGTGAAGAGTGACTTCATAATAATGCTGCTCACTGTTAATGGTTGCCCTTTTACGACCACACATGGAGTCCTTGCAGAATACATAAATATTAAGGAAGCTGGGTTTTATCTCCACACCACTCTGACTGGACTGACAGTGGTGCTGTTTGTAAAGCTCAGAATTATTACAATCAAAACACCATAACTCTAAACACTCCTTGTTCTTTTTGTTCCAAACAGGACATGGAGGAGGTGATGAAGACAGACAGGCCGGACTGGCAGAGCGTCATGCAGTACGTCTCTCAGATCTACAAGTACTTTGAGACCTGACCAGCTGGAGAGAGATGAATTGGAGGCACTGCAGCACTTTTTCTGTCAGCACTACATTCACCTTCCAGACAGATGTAACGCTGCCAGCGTAACCTTCCTCCTGCTCACTGTTGGACACTTAACACACAACTGAGGAAGTCTCCATTCTTGGGAGATTTGAAACAATCACAGAGTTGCTGTTTTCTCATTTTTTAACGGGACGCTACAGTGAGCACTGAGGCTCAAATTTACAAAGACTGTACTGCAAGAAACAATAACTTGTTCAATTTTACCAGCTTTAAACATCATCTGAGCATCGGATTCACAGGCAGGGGACAGCTGAGCTGGTTTGATTTTTTTTAACTCCCTCTATACTGACTTTGAAAGAACTGACAAAAATACATACTGTAATAGATTTTGGGTAACACTTTACTTGAAGGTATCTACATAAGGGTGACATGACACTGTCATAACTATGACATGACACTGTCATGAACTTGTCATAAACATTATGTACATGTCATAAACGTCTATGACTGCTGTCATTAAGTGTCATTTGGTTTTTGTAATGACAAGTTGACATTATTTGGGCTGTCTTGATTATGACAACTTGACATTAATCAGAGTGACATTACCAGAAGTTGTCTTTGTCATGACAAGTTGACATTAATTTGTTTGGGATGTCCTTATAATGACAAGTTGACATTAACTAGGTTGTCATAACAAGTTGACATTACCAATAAATGCAGCTCTTTTTGAGTTTATGACAAGGTGACATAATGATTGATACAAAGACATCTTCTGGTAATGTCATCCTGGTTAATGTCAACTTGTCATTATAAGGACATCCCAAACAAATTTAATGTCAACTTGTCATGACAAAGACAACCCAAACAATGTCAACTTGTCATGACAAAGACAACTTCTGGTAATGTCACTTTCATTAATGTCAAGTTGTCATAATCAAGACAACCCAAACAATGTCAACTTGTCATTACAAAAACTGAATGACACTTAATGACAGCAGTCATAAACGTTTATGACATGTACATAATGTTCATGACAGGTTCATGACAGTGTCATGTCACTCTTATGTAGATAACTTCAAGTGTTACCAGATTTTGTCACAAACTGGCTGTCAGTACAGAAGATATTTTTCCATTATATGCTAATTATCAGTGTTGTTTGTGAATCAAATGCTCTGGTTCTTATGGAAGCCCATATCTGCCAATGTGATGGATAAAAAACAGATCCTGTGAGTCACTACAGTGAGAACATTTCTTGAAATAATGACTTTGTATCTCAAAATAATGAGTTGTTATAAGAAAAATGACAAGTTAGTATCTCAGTTAGGGCTGCCCACGACTACGAATTTTCCCAGTCGACCAATAGTCATCATTTAGGGCCATTAGTTGACTACTTGTATTGCACTGCTTGGTGGAAACAGGACTTTAGCAACCACTCAAAGTGCTTTACAACACATGCACCATTCACCCACACATCAATACATCATACATACAGTTTTCTAATAATAACTTATCAATAATAACAGTATCTTTTTTTATTTTTAATCACATTGGCGGTAATGGGCTCCCGTTGGTTCTGGTCATTTTCAAATGTGCCAAATCTTCCAAGACACAGCATATACCAGACTATCTATGCATGGTCAAAGTGTAACCCTCTGTCTGAGCTCGCAGCGTGACGTCTTTTTTCACTGAACATTTTGTTTTGTTTGCTGAAATGTTGCTTTAAAGAATCTGTCACTTCTCACACCGAGTGCTTATCGTGAACGAGCTGGAGTTGTACTTTGCAGAGCAGAGAGTGTTTTGAACTGACAGCTTTGAGTTGAACTGAAGCCTTTTATATTTTCCACTTAAGAATAGAGATGAGACAAACCCTACGCTGCCATCTGTGATGCGACACTAAAACATGATTTAACACTACGAGAGTTGCTGAATAGTTTTGTAGAAATATTTTTATGAAGACAGATTGATCTCTATGTTTGCGTTGTTTACAGCACTAAGGACCGGCTGAATCAAACCATTGTGCACTGTTTTTCATGTTTTTCCATCGAGACTCTTTCAACAACTATGGTACTGCAGCTGCTTTGCAAAATCTACATATTCCGCATGCCATATTTAAATAATGACAGAGAGGATGACCTTTACGTGTAAGAGGTTAAGGCGCAACACTTTCTCTGTGGTATGATTTAGACAAGCCTCCATTTGCAGATGCCCTTATGTTTTGGAAGATAAAAGTGTTATTTATTGATTTACAAGACGTGTATCCTGAAAAGTGAGAATGGACAGAAGTGTGTGCAGTTTTCTATATACTGATGTCAGATCTGGAAGCCTGTTGGATGGATATTGCCCAATAAAGGATTGTCAAGTTTTATATTCAATCATTCACTTTTTGAAAAAAATGATTCTTCAAGTTATGTGACGCCAAGGTGACGCAGTCTTTGTCCGTGAAAGCACCAGCTCTGTGAGTTGCTCTACTTAGAATGCTTTTCCTCTGTGCCCAGCTCTGTGCCAGGGTTGTGAAACATTTGGGCATTGTGGGAACACTGAATGGAAAAGAGTAGCCTGCTTGTCACATCACACCTTTGCTGCTTAAACACATTTGAGTAGCAGCAGGTACACATGAGGCAACACTTAGGGAATGAATGAAAATATCTAAACACAGTAAGAAAGGTCAGATGAGAATATAAAAAAGGCAAGCTTGGTCTTGGATTCATGTGCTCTCTCAAAACTGATTTCCATATATAAATATTTCTTCCTATTTTGACCTCTTAGCATGAATTTGCGTCAGCCAGAAGCGGAAGGTAAACAGTATTCAGCAGTTTAAATGTGAGTAAATCGTTCTTCTTTTGCCTCCACTGAGCTCCTGGCCTGCGGGGTAAACTCCGCGATTTCGGACTGATTGAAACCAGATGCAGCCGCGTGTCTATGAGCAGTGCAGGCGCGAGTGCGTACAGTATAAACATGACGGCATTTACATTAAACGGAAAGCACGTGGAAGCGTGGTTGGACGAAGTTTAATTGATGCGTAATTACGCGCGGCGGACCGGTGACGCTTGTTTGGGATTCCACCCTTATCGCACTTCTTGCAAGCGTTTGTGTGTGTGTGTGTGTGTGTGTGTGTGTGTGTGTGTGTGTTGGGCGTGGCTTCTCTGTGAAATTGAGGGTTTTTTTCCTCCTCGTTTTTTTCTTCTTGCGTTTCCCCTTCCACTTCAAAACCGCTGCGTGGGGGGAAGTTGTGTGACACACTGCCTGCGCTCCACAGCTACAGATGCGCTCCACAGATCGCTCGCTGTTAATGTGAAAACATCCAGAGACGATGTGCAGGTTTATGAAGGTGAGTCACAACTATGTCCAGTGACTTTCCCTCAGCTTGGTCTGGTCACTAATGCAGCAGACGCGGAGGATTGATGCGTTTTTTGTTCTCCAGCTTTTGTCAACTTTGTGATGCAAACTTTTTCTTAATCTGAATATAAAGCAAACCCCTTTCCTTCCAACAGATGGCTGGTACCGCAGCTCACACTTGTGGAAGATTCCTGGATTACAGCAGAAAGACTTCTTTACTCCTCTGGGACTAGAGGTAGCGTTGCGGGTGACTGTGTCTCCTGTTATGTTCAGCTTGCAGGTTTTAGTCCTTTAACACACTTTGCTGAGATGAGTCCGTTCTACATCGTGATTGAAGTAGTAATCGCTGTTCTCTCCATATCCGGCAACATACTGGTGTGCTGGGCTGTGTCGATCAACACCACTCTGAAGAACGCCACCAACTATTTTCTGGTGTCTCTGGCCGTGGCGGATATTCTGGTCGGTTGCCTCGCCATCCCTTTTGCCATCACCATAAGCGTTGGCATCCGTCTGGACTTCTATGGATGCCTCTTCCTGGCCTGTTTTCTCTTGGTACTGACACAGAGCTCCATCTTCAGCCTTCTGGCTATTGCAATTGACAGATACCTGGCGGTGAAGATTCCTCTGAGGTGAGAATGAGTTTGTATCACTGATGTGGAATTCATTTAAACATTCTTCTTATTAATCTGACAGGATGATGGTGAAGACAGAGACACAGTGAGACCTCAGTCTGGTTTTCAATCAAAGTGAACTCAAAGCTCTCTGGCTGTTAAATCATAGTCAGTGTGTGAAATAAGGAAGAAAATACTGACCTCTTGTCATTTTATCTTCATAAAACAGCCCTGAATATTGACATGTGTCCCCTGTAGGTAATAATTAAATTTAAGATTATATAATGAAATGACTGGCCCCTGGGCACAGATTTGCAAAGGGCCCCACCACCTATGCTACACAGGAAAAAGACACACAGACATTGTGGTAGTTTTGCGTGTCTTTGTAGTTTTCACACATTTTTTGTTGTTGTGATGTGTCTGTTTGTAGTCACTTTGTGTCTCCAGTGGTTCTTTCTGTGGTCATTTTTGTCTGTTTGAGGTCAGTTTGTGTCTTATCGGTTGTTTTGTATCCCTCTGTAGTCATTTTGTGTCTCTTTGTAGCTGTTTTGTGTCTTCTTGTCATTGTTTTGTCTCTACGTGGTTGTTTTGTGTCCCCTCTTCATTGTTATGTGTCTCTTTGTGGTTGTTTTATGCCTTGTCGTGGTCGTTTTGTGTCTCTTTGCTGTTGCTTTGTGTCTCTTCGTGGTTGTTTTGTGTCTCTTTTTGTCATCTGTCTTTTTGGAGTCATTTTGTGTCTCCATTCAATTTTTTGTGTCTTTTCTGTGGTCATTTTCTGTCTTATTGGGTTGATTTTTGCATCTCTTAGAGGTAATTTGTGTCATATTGGTTGTTGTGCATCCCATTGTTGTTGTGTTGTACCTCTCTGTGGTCATTCTGTGTCTTCTTGTTTTGTGTATTTTGTAGTTGTTTTGTGTCTCTTTGCAGTCCCCTTGTTCCTTCTCCTTGTGGTCATTTTGGTCTGTTTGAGGCCGTTTTCTGTCTTACTGAGGTAAAAAAAAAAAAGTATCTTTTTGATGTAATTTAGTGTCTTATGCGTTGTTTTGTATCCCCTTGTCGTCACTTTGCCCAATTTACTAGTTACTTTGTGTCTCTTTTTTGTTGTTATGTGTCTCTTTGTAATCATTTTGTGTCTCCAGTGGTTGTTTTGTATCTCTCTGTAGTCATTTTGTGTCTTCTTATGGTTGTTTGCCCAATTTCGTAGTTACTTTGTGTCTCTTTGCAGTTCGTTTTCATCTCCTTGTGGTCATTTTACGTCCCTTCCTGGTCACGTTATTTCGACATTTATCATTTTACATGTGAGGGCCAGGGGGGCCCCTGACACTTTGGTTCCCCTGAGCCTGTGCCCAGTCAGCCCGTTCAGTAATCCATCCATGTCCATGATGTAAAAGATCAACATCAGCTCTGTGATCTCATGAATCAGTTTCATGTGGAGCTTAATGCCTTGCATAAAAATAGCTCAGTTAATATGTAAA